ATGAACCAATTCAAATGGAAAACAAATATTCTCAGATTATGTAATCTGTATGAAACATTCAGGCGCATCCAATTGCGGAGATGACGAGTCAGTGTCGCCGACTTCATCTCTTAAACCGAGAACAAAGAAAGCACTTGTTTATCGGTGAATTATTAAAATGTTAATGCAGTCTCCTTACTGTTACACCTTACTGCTTTCTGCCGTCTCGGTCTCTGTGAACTTGAGCGCGAAACTCCGCGAATGTTTGCCTTACAGACCTAAAAAAAAATATCTATAGAGAGTGAAAGGTCTACTTTCAAATAAACCAATTCAAATGGAAGACAATTATTCTCAGAATATGTAATCCGTGTGAAACATGCATGCAGGCGTTTCCATTGCGGAGATGACGAGTCAGTGTCGCCGACTTCATCTCTTAAACCGAGAACAAAGAAAGCACTTGTTTATCGGTGAATTATTAAAATGTTAATGCAGTCTCCTTACTGTTACACCTTACTTCCCTGACACATTCATAATCATAGCTTCTGCGGTGCGCTGTGGCAAGCTTTATACGTGTGCTTGAGCGCTTATTGGCTATGAAGGCAATTAAAGGCTCATTATAATGATTTAAATGGTTTATTAATAAATGTGCGATTAGTCGACTAATCCTTAAAATGAACGACTACTAGTTGACCATAAAAATGTTTAGTTGAGGGCAGCCCTAATATATATATATTGTTGTTTTTAATTGTTTTAAGTCATTAAATACATTTTATAGGCCAGGAACATGAATTAAGACGTTACATTGGCATCATTTGCTCATGTAACCACGTCTGTGAATGTTCATAAACCAGAGCAAAAGCAGCAGCAGCTGCACTAAAATGATATTGCCTTCATAATAACCTGCGTGTCAGACTCGTGTTTTACTACACGCTTTCTTTTGTGCGGCTGAGCGCTGTTATGCGAGCATTCGATGCATGTTCGACTGAAAAGGGCTTTTTGTCTGCGGGGACGAGGAAAGGCGCTACTTCCACATTCGCCGTTGCCTAGCAACCGCGATGCACATATTGGCGGGAACATCTGTCTCGAACGCCGCTGCCAAATCTGTGCTGTATCGTAAACACTCGTCCGCTGATCTGAGATCTGCTGACCCTGAGCGCCCGCTGAAGGACGACTCGTCCTTGTGCTCCGTTATCGCTTACAGATATGCAAACCCAGGGCTTTTGTGTTTAGCCATCAGCTCTGAGCCTCGTTCATTATTTTCTGTCCTGCTGATCCTGAAAATCTCTGACTTAAACAAAGAGAGAGTGAAGGAGCCTCCTCTGATTTACTACAGACCGCAGTGAATCCTGAAGAAAATAGAGCTCAAGTATATTACTAACCTTGTACTTTAAACATAGCAATGTGTGCTGCAAATTTTGAGGATTTTATGATAAATAGATTGTGGTGTTCCTCATTTGCATGAGTAAATGTGAATGCAATGCAAACTTTGATTAAAGAAAATAAAGCCTGTTGTGAGATGAATCTTGTAAGTAAAATAAGTCAGTCAATAGTATTATTATATTTTGATTTAACTTGCATTTTAATACTATAATAGTGGATAAATATTGTCAATAAATGTTTCATTTATAATGAAAATTAAATATTATTAAATGTAGTATTATTATCACTTTTGACTCCTCTTATCTTTTATTGCTAATAGTTTAAAAAAAAGTCAATAAATTCTACATTTAGAATGAAAAATTAAATGTCCTATTCACAGTGTCATAGGCATTTTGCTTGTAAATTTTATTAGATTTAATTTATAAATATATGATTTATTGACTGACTTCACAAGCTTAGTCTCAAAATAGACTTCATTTTATTTATTAAAAGTTTGCGTTGCATTTACATTTATTTATATGGTTTTATCCAAATATACTAAATTATGTAATAAAGCAAAATGTTATATTATTATTATTATTATTATTATATTTTTGTTCAACTGTATTATAATAATAATAAATGAAAATAAGCCATGCTTTTTTCTTCATAAGCTCCTCTCAGTATGCGGCGGGTCAAAGGTCGCTCCCCTCAAACACACCTTGAGCTTTGTGTTCTGATAAACTCCTCCGGTCACTGCCGGTCATCTCTGCTGTGCTCCAGAGCTGTGTTTCTCTGTGTTTGCAGAAACACTTCGGGCAACAGCGAGATTTTTAATGTGTTTTAAAGAAGTCTCTTCTGCTCACTAAGCCTGCATTCATTTGATCCAAAACGCAGAAAAATCAGTAAAATGGTGAAATATTTTTACTATTTAAAATAACTGCTTTCTATGTGAATATCTGTTAAACTCTAATTTATTTCTGTGATCAGAGCTGTATTTTCAGCATCATTACTGCAGTCTTCATGATCTTCAGAAATCATTCTAATATGCTTGTTGTTGTTGTTGTTGTTGTTGTTGTTGTTGTTGTTGTTGTTGTTGTTGTTGTTGTTGTTGTTGTTGTTGTTGTTGTTGTTGTTGTTGTTGTTGTTGTTGTTGTTGTTGTTGTTGTTGTTGTTGTTGTTGTTGTTGTTGTTGAAAACAGCCGAATATAATTTTTTCAGGATTCACAGATGAATAGAAAGATCAGAAGAACAGCATTTATCTGAAATAGAAATCTTTTGTAACATTATAAATGTCTTTATCATCACTTTTAATCAATTTAAAGCATCCATGCTAAATACATTTAAATTAAAAAAATTAATTAATTTCTGTAATTGAAAAAAAAAAATTATAATAAAATTACACTGACTCCAAGCTTTTGAATGGTATAGTGTATGATGTTACAAAAGCTTTTTATTTCAGATAAATGCTGATCTTTGGATCTATCTGTTCATCTAAGAAAAAATTTACTCAACTGTTTTAAATATTGATAATAATAATAACAATAATGTTTGTTGAGCAGCAAATCAGCATATTAGAATGATTTCTGAAGATCATGTGACACTGAAGACTGGAGTAATGATGCTGAAAATACAGCTGCGCATCACAGACATAAATTAGAGTTTAACAGATATTCGCATAGAAAGCAGTTATTTTAAATAGTAAAAATATTTCACAATATTACTGCTTTTGCTGTGTTTTGGATCAAATGAATGCAGGCTTGGTGAGCAGAAGAGACTTCTTTAAAACACATTAAAATTCTTACTGTCCAAAAACCTTTGACTGGTAGTATATATATAGGCAGAACTGTTGTACAGCTCATATTTCTGTCAAACTCTCTCTAAATCTCATGAATCTCTGTCCTTCATGAACATGAGCTGATTCTCATAGATCAGGGTCAAAGGTGAAGTTTGTGATGTCATCATGTTCAAACACTGATTCATATTCTGCTCGTTGGTTTGACTTTGTGTTGCTTTCAAAACATCAGTCTGTTTGTTTGAGTGGCCCGACCAATGACGTGAGTTTGGGGCGGAGCTATCTGCTGTACTGACCAATGAGATGACACTATATGACGCGGTGATTTAATGCAATAATAATTCATGAACACAATTTTTTAAGATATTGTCCGGTTTTTTTTTCATTACTGTTTTTGTTTTTACATGTTATTAATTGGAGAATTATTGAGAAATAGCCAATGTTGTCAATATGCAATGTTATCAATATTGTAGAATTGATAACATTGCATATTGATATTGTTTATATAATTATGATGATGATGATTACTATTGTTATTATTGTTATTATTAATACTTTATTTTAATGTATTATAAAAAACATATTTATAAATTGTTATATATTTTTAATAATAATATGGTTTCATTAAGCCCGCCACTCATCAGGGCTTATTACAGGAAACTGAAACCACTGAAAGAAAACACATTACTTAAAATAAAAGGAAATATTAACTGAATTTTAGCTAGTTTAGTTAAGATTGGACTTGAAGTACTAAAATAAATAAAACTAAAACTAATGAGTAAAAAAAATGACACAAACTACTAAAATAACTTAAACGAAATAACAAAAACTAATAAATAAAAAGTAAAGAAAAAAAAACTGTTAAATTGACAAAAACACAACAAAATTATTAAAACGTGAAAATGTAAACATAATATCTAACTAAAAATAAAATACAAAATATTGACCAAAAACTATAATAGTATATCATCAGCGATAGTAAAATCACACTGCATCATTGATCATAATAATTTATTTAAATGTTTTACAAATAATTTTTTTATATATATTTATTAAAATTGTAATAGTTAAAAAAAAATAAAGTACTAAAATTTAATTGAAAATTAAAAAATTAAATCTTTGTAAATAAAAAATTTAATTCAAAATATTGACAAAATTATAATAGTATATCAGCGATAGTAAAATAACACTGCATCATTGATAATAATCATTTATTTAAATGTATTTAATAATTAAAATGTATAATTATATAATAGTTTATATTTTGTATGTAATTAGAATAAAATAGTAATAATAGTTTCATTAAAAAATTAAAAGCTTACTAAAATAAATGTTAAAAAAATATGTAAATAAAAACTAATAAAAATGACAAAAACAAAACAAAATAACCAAAAAAATTAAAAAATTGAACTGAAAATGTAAAAAAATATATGTATGTAAATAAAAAAATATTGACACAAATATTAGTATATAATTGCTACTAAAATCACACTGCATCATTACTAATAATAATTTATTTAAATGTTTTACTAATAATTGTTTTATATATATTTATTTACATTTTAATAGTTTAAAAAAAAATAAAGTACTAAAATTAAATTGAAAATTTACAAATTTAATCTGTGTAAATAAAAAATTTAATTCAAAATATTGACAAAAAATTATAATAGCATATCAGCGATAGTAAAATAACACTGCATCATTGATAATATTAATTATCAACTAAAGTTAACTAAATTAAGTTACATTTTAATATATTAATATTATTATTATTAACTAAAAATACATTTTATATATTAATTTAAATTTTAATAGTTTCAAAAAAAAATTTAAAAGTACTAAAATTAAATTTAAAATGTAAAAATTAAATCTTTGTAAATAAAAAATGTAATTCAAAATATTAACAGAAACTATAATAGTATATCAGTGATAGTAAAATAACACTGCAGGTGTGTATATATTTTCTACTAAAATCACACTGCATCATTACTAATAATAATTTATTTAAATGTTTTACTAATAATTGTTTTATATATATTTATTTACATTTTAATAGTTTTAAAAAAAATAAAGTACTAAAATTAAATTGAAAATTTACAAATTTAATCTTTGTAAATAAAAAATTTAATTCAAAATATTGACAAAAAATTATAATAGCATATCAGCGATAGTAAAATAACACTGCAGGTGTGTATCTATATATTTTCTCTTATATAAAACTCAGAGGCTCTTAATTCAAAGGCGTCTTTAAAAGTTCCTCTTTTAACAATCTGCCTGCCTAAAAATCTCCAAAACCCAAGTAAGCTTCATTTTAAAGTGTTTTTTCCAGCTGAAGCAGCTCTCATCTTCATTTCAGGTGATTTATGACACAAGAAATTATGAAAAATGATGACAACATTGGTTCATAAATGTGCATTTCTATACGTCTATAGTTCTGTGGGCTGGAGTTAGTAAGCTGAGGTGAATGCGTTCTGATTGAGTTATAGATAGATGATATTAGATTTCCGGCCCATGATGCATTGCAGCGAAGCGTCTGCGTGTCATTGGGTTCAGACGTAGCTTTGCAGCGTCTTTCTAAGAAGTCTCGCATCTTCAGACTCGTTATTTAATGTTTGGCCTGAATTCATTCACTGCGGAAACCAGATCTCTGTTGATATCGACGATGCTTTATAGAGTTAAAGGTACAGTGACATCGATTCAGTTGATTACATTTAAACCAGACGAGTCATTGTGGCCATTAATTAGATTTCAAATGTGTAACGCAACTCAAGTAAAACATGGTAATCGTGTTGCTTTCCACAAAGTTTTTCGCTAAATCAACGCTTTTTTTTTCTTTTTACTCTATTTTTTTATGACTATTTTATTACTATTTTTCCTTTTGCTTTTCATTCATTTTAGATACTTTTTAAACTATTTTTTATTCTAGCTTTGTTTCGCTTTTCATTCATTTTAAATATGTTTAAACTATTTTTTGCTGTTTTTGTTCTGCTTTTCATTAATTTTAGATATTTTTAAAAATGTTATTCTATTTTTGTTCTGCTTTTCATTAATTTTATTTATTTTAAACTATTTTTTACTCTTTTTGTTCCGCTTTTCATTAATTTTAGATATTTATAAAACTATTTGTACGCTTTTTGTTCTGCTTTTCATTAATTTTAGATATTTTTAAACTTTTTATTCTATTTTTGTTCCGCTTTTCATTAATTTTAGATATTTTTTTTTAAAAATTCTATTTTTTTCCTGCTTTTTATTAATTTTAGATATTTATCAAACTATTTTTATTCTATTTTTGTTCTGCTTTTCATTAATTTTATTTATTTTTAAACTTTTTATTCTATTTTTGTTTTGCCTCATTAATTTTTTGATATTTTACTTTTTAAACTTTTATTCTATTTGTTCTGCTTTTCAGTAATTTTAGATATTTTATTCTAACATTTTTTTAAATTCTATTTTTGTTTTGCTTTTTAGTAATTTTATGTATTCCAGGTTTTTTACCCATTTATTCGTTTTAGATATTTCAGAGCAAATGCAAGGCACATTTATTTATTTTTACGTCTAACCACATTTCATACACTGTAGCAATTCGAAGAGCTTTACATAATTTTTTTAAAAAAATAATCATAAAATTATCAGAACAGATGCTTCAGAAATAAAATTAGCAAAAAATGTAAAAAGAAAACAAAGATTACAAAAGTTAAAATATATTAAAAACAAATAGATGGAGAAATATTGAGATATATTGTAAATAATCTTATATACACTACCAGTCAAAGGTTTTTGAACCGTAAGATTTTAAAGCATCCTTGCTAAATAAAAGTATTAATTTCTATAATTTTTGGATCTTTCTTTTCATCAAAGAATCCTGAAAAAAAAAAATATACTCAACTGTTTTAAATATTCACGTAGAAAGCAGTTATTTTAAATAGTAAAAATATTTCACACTTTTACTGCTTTTGCTGTGTTTTAGATCAAATAAATGCAGGCTTGATGAGCAGAAGAGACTTCTTTAAAACACAAAAAATCTTACTGTTCAAAAACCTTTGACTGGTAGTGTATATATATACATAAATATTTATATGATATGAATACCATATATACTGTATATGAGCAGTGTTGGGGGTAACGCGAGTTACATAATCAGATTACTTTTTTTCAAGAAACTAGTAAAGTAACGCATTACTTTTTAATTTACAAGAGAATATCTGAGTTACTTTTTCAAATAAGTAACGCAAGTTACTTTTTTTTTTTTCAATTTATTGATTGACAGCTCTGGTGTTGCCATGGTGACAGAAATCAGAAGATGTTACTGTAGTTCTAAAATAAATATGAATATGCATTAATTCATCTCACTCACAAAAAAAAAACA